CAAATTCGGCGCTGGTCTCGTCTCTCAATACGCATGAGTAACTTATTGCATGGGTAATTGGATATGGACTTCTGGACTCTCATGCACAACATGATCTCATTTGGTGAAAGCCTTCGTCATAGACTACTCTTCCCGTGTTGTCTGATGCCGAACTCTAGAACTTTATTGGTCAGCCAGAGAGAGGAAGCCTTCTGACGTTTCAGCTTCAATCTTGACATATTCCGGATATGTCACGTTTCCTGACTTATGGCTTATCCTTCAGAGCACTTCAGTTTCGTTCACTTTCGAATGGAATGTACTGTTTAGCTGTGTGTTGAAGTTTAATCGTATAATTCCAGATTAACTTCCCGTGAAAATCTCCTTTTCTCGTGTTTTTGGGGTATTAACACCCAGACACTGTTAGGGCAGGGCACTTGCTCGATTAACGCCAAGGCTTCTCTAACCGGATCTCTTACGCTTCTGAATCTGATAAATTGGAATCAAAGCTGGCAAGAAGGAGGAGACTGTGGACCTAAGTATCAGCTGTCTCTTTCAATCGTCCTTCCCTTTTCCCTACTCCGGTAGGTAGCCATTGTTCGGAGAGTATCACCTCTCAACCTACAAATCTTGAAAAAACAGATGTGTAAGGGAGGTTTCAAGAGGCTAGCTGATGCCAATCTACTGATCTTCCCAGTTTTCTCTTTCCTCGATGCCTGAAACCCCTCCTCATTCGCACTGTTGCGACGATGTGGCTAGAAACATAATCGCCGACTCACTCTCGTCCATCCCTCTGAAACGCTCCCATAAGATCCAATTTCGAGAAGTGAAAAAACACTCAAAATGAAAATTGATGACGACAGCAACTGCAAGAGTGTGGTGATGCTGAACAAACGTTGAAGTCAAACCTAGCCATTACCCTTCAAGAGAACATAAATGCAGACTTTTATGATTGTAATAAAGTTTAGAGCCCTATTCAGACTGCTTGCATATTGGCTTCCATAGCAGTCACCGGGCTATATGAGCCGCCGAGGTGCTGCTGTTTCTGTAGGGGCTACAATCTTGGCTTTTTGGGTGACATAGCAGGTTGTGAGTTTTGTCGTCTACAACCAAGGCAATGACTGTTCCCTGAATATCTGTACGTCTCAATTACGTGTTTATTATTTGTTGTTGCTTTGTCTATTACAATTTACAAATGTTAATCTGTTACCGTGGGATTAGTAATCATTTTGAAGGCTTTCATGGGTAGTAGCATTGAAATCTCACACATCTCTCAGCTACATATCTGCCCTCCTTGTTGAATTCGGGGAGACCGGACTACTCTATTGATAGTATCAAATTATTCGACAACTAGCACTTTTCATATCTCATATTCCGTCTGGGAACTTCTGGGAGGGCTCCTCGGGGAGCCGTCTGGAGATTGCAATCATATTTGTCCCGATGCATGAGACCGGTAGATTACTTGGTCCTATTTTGACGTCATTGACGTCATTAAGTAAAACAGCCTATCCTCTGACAACTAGTTTTCATCGGGGGACGAAAATGAAATTCGTCAGGCCTAAAGTAGGCTGTAGTAGTAAATTATATTAGGTAAGCGCTCCTTGGTTGACGACAAACACCGTTCTATTCTGGGTATAGGTGGAGATGGAGGAAGTGGTCTCCGTTTAGCATATTCTGTTGGTGCCACTTTGACATAAGAATACTAGTTAGGTTTTAACCGCCGTCGTCTGATTTCCACATTTGGATACAGTTCACGATAAAAAAGGCTCATGAGATATCCCGATCGGGTCAATTTGTGGCCGCCTCGTACACCATATGTGGCGCTGTCAGGTAACGGCCCAGATAGGGGGTAAAAAGCTCAAAGATTCTCTCGGATGTAGGCGCGGACGAGTTTCAACGGCATCATGGAGGCTGCATCATCCCTGAGGGAACCCATGAAGGTAGTTTAAACAACTTGTCATGACCCATAGCGAAAGTGAAAGACAGTCCTGTACAGTTTTGGCACGATGTAGTCATCTTTTTGCATAACTGCAACCACTGAAATCTCGTCCAAATACCCGTTCCATGTCATATCGTCATGGTAATCTCGTACAACCTCTATTTTCGCTACTTTTGAGAAGCCTTTTTTTCAAAGCAGAATCGGAGAATTTTCTCTTTCCTTTCACCTACGCTGCATTATTCCCATTCAATACTTCCGCTCATCCTCAAAAACGGTACCTCAGAATTATTGTGAACTGCGCCTTTAATATGGTAAAAATCGTATGTAAGTCTGTTTTGACTGGTCCAAATCATGTTGCGATGCCTCTGATGCTCCTCAACTGGCTACCGTGACCATCGTCAAGATAATTGTCACCATTTATTATCATCAAGGTGCCCAGAGAGAAAGTCCATTCAATCAGTAAACTGGTAAAGGTTGTGAGGAGTTGAAGTATCATGGTCCATGGGTTTCGATTTTGGGTTCATACCTCCATTTTAGAATCCCTCTGTCTAAGCTTTCGGCCTGTTTGTGTTTCCTTTAGCATTATTTTCTTTTTCTTTTCCTGATGGGCATTCGGTTAAAGGGCCAATTTCAGGTGGAAGAATCGACTTATTTCTGCAAATAATTGCCTTACCCTGAAACTTCTCTTATTTCCCATACAGGCGCTCAGTTTTACTTTATATTCCTTTCATATGACTGTTCCAATACCGTGGTTCGTCGCGTAGTGAGTTGTTTTGGTTACATCTCGCTGCCATTTCGCCAGTCATGTGAATTTTAAATTTATTCAGTCACCGGATGGCTGTGAGTTATGAGAAAAAACTAGATCACGAACAGATGCGAACCCTTCCAAATCGCTTTGTTTCCCATCCCAGTCTGAAACGCTGTAGAGTTTTTTTCTTGTGGAAAATTCAATTCTCTCGGTGTTCTTGAATTTTTTTTTCAACCGAAACTTTTTAGGACGTCTGGGTTGGCAAAGGGCATTTCATCACCCTACACTGAAACACACCATCCTATCAGGGGATTCAGACCTCCACAACTTCCTTCCTTTTCATCGAATTTCACGTTCCCCATTCACTAGAACTATGACATCTTTCACTTCCACACTGAGTTACTTCATGTGGTGCTTTCCCGACCAGAGTTGAAGTCCTTTATGTCTTCCTTTCTTCCCATCTGGGGTCCTTTTGTTCACGTCATCAGATATTCGGCTCTTTGTGCTGGTTTTGTTCACCTCATAGTTTCTATAGCTAGCAAGATTCCTTCAGACACCCTAAGCCTGATGTGCAAAGTGGTTTTGACAATGCTGAAGACGCTGATTAAATAATCGGCTCATGATGATGCCTTTCTGTTGTTTAATCCTTACGACAGCCCCGTTTAACGATATCCCTGAAGCCTAATCATCCTAATTCTTCCCCATCGACATTCCCCATTAGTCGGCATGCATTTTTTAGTCACCGACGAGACGACGTTACTTCTTCTCTCTAACCCATTCCGAGCGCTCCTACAGACAGAAGTGACGAACCTACTCGAGGAGTCACTCACCGGTTAGCCGACCCTCTAGCGGCATTGCCTTCTAACTGCGTTCTGGCTCTACGATCTTTCGATGACATATCTGAAAGGAGAAGGAAGAAGGCAGAGAATATAGATTATCATAAAAATAAGCATCTATGAATCCTGTTCTCTGTCATCCTCCTGTACATGCCATGCCCAGATCCTGAACGGGAGGAGTCGGGTGATTGGCATTCTCCAGATAAGCTGATTATTTCACTGCACCTTATCGTTCTCTTCTGAGTAACAGGAGCAGAAACTTTCAGGAGCCACTCACTTCTCAACGTTCACTTTGCTTATCAGAATTCGCGTTCATTGCTCAGTCTTTGTCAATCTTCCCTAGGCTCAGCAGGATAGGCTGAGAAGCCAGAGGACGTTGTTTACTTGTTGTTGTCATTCCAGCCATATCTATGAATACCAATGAATCATCATCTTCGTGTTGGAATTATCTAAATATATCGTTGGGATCCCTCTCCGAGTAATTGCGTTGCGAATGGATAACTAATGTAAGTAGAGACCTCCGCTGCCCAGATACTTATGCTTCTTGAGCAATGGCATGCCACGGCGAACCCTTTGAAAGGCCAACTTTGACTGAGCTCATTACCCATGGGTATGGTGGTACTCACAAGACGAAAACATTGCCTAACAGGTTCCGATGACCATCTTTCATAGCGATAAGCACTCTTCTAGCTATATATTTAATCGTTGGCCTTTTGTCTTTGTATTCATACATACTAGGAGGCACTGCCATGGCTCGTGACCGCTTTTGATTTAAATAATCGTCCAATCCGTTCCTATATGTCTCACGTCATCCTCGCTGACGTTCTTTGTTATTCTAACGGTTGGAACCCAAACGGGAACTTCGTCGAATTATTAGAAAATGTTTTCTGGCAGCTGACTCCCCTCCCAGGGCTCTGTCGTACTGCCGCTTCTTTGGGTTACGGCACTTCTTGAAACAGACTTCAGGTCTACCCTTCCATGTACCGTTTCCGGAACATACCCCAGCTAGTTACCTTCACACTTTCACTCGACGCTCGACGCTTTCTCCTTTTCGGCTAGGTTCTGCGAAAATTTCCTGATAAGCACTATCAGTAAGCAACGCGGGGCACGAGCCTATTGTCTCGTCAGACTATCGGAAGACCAAACCGACTTACCTGTCCCTCCGTTCCTACTTAATTCGGGCGGAGACTAAAGTTGTTGAGGCCCCCGTAAACACGGAATTGATGAACTTAGACGCTTCCTACCTCATTGTTGCATTCACGCGGTTACGACCAGTTTTGGTGCTATTCACTTGTCCCCTTTGTCCTCCGCCTGTGTAAGTGCCTGCTGACCCAGAATTTTCTGAATTCTTGCACCCATTAGGAGGCATTGGCTTTGAGAGGTTGTTCTAGGACCTATTCTCTGTTAACTGCCTTTTCTCCCTGACTGGCACTGATATTTCATGCGCTTAGGGAAAATCCGGAAGATTTGCCGTCTTCTTGAAATTGCCGGCTTATTCATTAGATTTCCGAGCTTATTCTGTCGGATATTCTTTTTTGATGGCGCACCGCTTGGATGTCACTTGCTGAGTTGTTCAATTTCAGATGATGCTACCCAAGAATTTCAAAGTCTTGAAGAGATCCATTTCTGAGAAAATTCTTCGAAAACCCCATCAAAAGTGAGTTAGTCACGATTTTGTCCTTGTTTACGCTTATTTTCGTTGATGTGGACAGATAAACAACTGAACAAGTGAGTAAACAAACAAATAGATGTTTGTTCTGAAATATGAAGCAATTGGGAATACCGTGGACACGACTGTGACATTGGGTCCAACACTTCAGCCTCTTATCTTTTCTCTTTTCTTCCGTTAAAGTCAAAAAATTTCTAAGCAGAAGGCTAATTCCCAGATGCTTCTCGAACGTCTCCTAGGCACTTCTACTTCATGTTACTTTATCCAGGCCTCCTTTATTACTTCCAGAAGTAGGGCTAATCTTCAGACAACCGGTGTAATTGCATGGTACGTATTCCGATGGACCATTAAGGAAATCCACTAATGTTCCTCCTCGTCCGACCACATGCTGAGAGCTATCGGTCACCTTTATGGGACGCTCATTTTTTTCTGACATCCGTTAAAGCCAAGGATGAGAAAGGAAGAGAATTCAGTGGGAAGGATGACTTACGTGGGGAACTGTGAACTTCGTTACCAACCCAGGGTTCGAGCCGTTCACTAACAAGGGAGGGGAGACGCATTGTCGTCCTCTCATCCTTAATGAAAAGGTTGCAGAACATGCAATTGTCCATTCCGCTCGATGTTCTTTGCTGATGAAAGATCGGGACGTTGTTCTGTGGACCTATAACTGAGGATTATGGGTCCTGAGGTTTTTTTTGATAGGTCCTTTGGGCATCTAACTTGAGGGAAATGAGATAATGCCAATTGTTCTACATCTTTGGAAAGGCTACGACTTCCAAAAACGTTCAAAGAAACGTTAGAGTTATGGATTCCCAGAGCATTCCTATTCGACTGACGTAGCTTCAAAGAAAACATTCAAAAAAAAGACCTCTACCAGTGTTAGTCGGTGTCTGGGATGAATGGAAATGTGCCAGGTTGATGCTCCGTGAAACCCTGCAAGTGGCTTCATGAACTGTGCAAATCAGGACCTATCTTGAAATATTTCATTCAAAAAGGACAGCCAAAAGTCAAGTAGATTTAACATTGGGAGAGTGTAAAGTACTACAGCACTACTGTAAAGTACTACTGTACATAGTGCAAAAACTTTGCCATGAAGTAATCCTTATTTGGGATTCATTTTTCATTCATATTGAGAACTGCACTTTCATGGCATATTTCAGGGTTGTAGGCAGGAAAACTTGAAAAGAATTTGTTCTATACAATGACTATAGCGGGAAGGGAACTGTTCAAGAACGCATTCTAACTAGCTTTTTTCCAATGTAAAATGAAAACTAGAATATCCTTATAACTTTCATTGATAACGTGAACACGGTAACCATCATTACCCATCGTTACCCTAGCTGTTCACCTCTAGGTATAAGTGTAGTCAGTTGTCCCAGTGTCCTCCAGCTGTCCCAGCTTTTCCACGCTTGATTTTTCCAACGGTGGTTTTCAAATTCCGGAGAAGTCTCTTGGTGAGGTAGTGTCCCAATCATTTCCCATCTCCCTAGTCATAATCAAGCTAGATATGAGGAATGCGCAGACTGTTCGAATATGGGAAGCATACGCATTTGGGAAGCAAAGAATGGCGCTCATCTGCTGAAGGGTCCAATGGGATCAACAGATGATCAACGGTTCGGATGCGGGAAATTTCAACGTTGTCATGCCCCTTATGTAAATTCCCTGTTCCAACACACCCAACCGTCTCTCCCCCCGCATCGGTCAGAAGTGCTTGGGAGCTTGGTACCTGAACTGAGTTGGAATGAGCGTACAAATGAGCCATCTACATCATATTTATGACATCAGTCCTGATCGGTTGTATCGGTACGGGTAAAAAAGGAAAAACCTTAGCACAAAACAAAAGAAAATACTAGTTTCACCCAAAAAAATTACCAAAATATAAAGAGAAATTGAGTTTCATTTTCTCCGTACTACTTTTTTTTTCTCACTCATCGACAAGAAGATTTCCTTTTCAGAGCGGATATACGAGAAGCGGATCAGTCACGTCAAAGTGGTTCATTATCGCAGTCCTCACAGGACGAGGATGATCCATATCAAGTAAGAGGATTCCATTCAATTCAATTTGCTTACGCAAGCTTCTACGTGCATAATCATATGGATGAATGTATATCCGCTAAGAAATCCTCTTTATAGGAAATTCTTCGAACATACAACGATAACGTCTCACACTTGGTATTCCATGGTTCATCATTGAAATCAATGAGCAATATTGATTTCGAATCAATGAATCAATCGATCAGTACCGCCCCTTCCGGTTCATGCCGTGTACGATTTCAAGACAGGGTTGATCTTGAGGGAAGGTCAATGAAAGCGGCTGAAAGTGCTTGATTTGTAGAATTTTTCTTTGATTTGAAAGTTTTCGACGGTCATTACTGTTGTAGTATCAATAGTGATTTGATAAGCACATACATATTTTACTTATTCATATAATAATCGAATTGACTATGTTGTTATTGCTGATACAAGTGCATGATTGCCGGGTTGAAATGAATTATTCTTTAGTGTATACCCTTTGTATNTTCGAATCAATGAATCAATCGATCAGTACCGCCCCTTCCGGTTCATGCCGTGTACGATTTCAAGACAGGGTTGATCTTGATGGAAGGACAATGAAAACGGCTGAAAGTGCTTGATTTGTAGAATTTTTCTTTGATTTGAAAGTTTTTGACGGTCATTACTGTTGTAGTATCAATAGTGATTTGATAATCACATATATGACTTATATAATAATCGAATATACTATGTTGTTATTGCTGATACAAGTGCATGATTGCCGGGTTGAAATGAATTATTCTTTAGTGTATACCCTTTGTATAATTATATCTGAAAAAAATTGAAAATATTTGAAAATTCTAGTAAATGAGTGTTTTTCAACCGAACAGGTGAAATAGGTAGAATGGGAAAGTCGTTCCCATTCAGTTTTGTTATGGGCTAGAAAATACCTGAACAGGTGGTTATACCATATGCGTCTACAACTGATTTTATATTTTAATAAATCTGAAATGCTGCAGCTTGCTACTAAAAGTACTGTGCCAACGTTCGAAAGCGGGTAAACAATACCTTTCCCTTTTGGCTATTCAGAAAAGGGAAATCGTGTTCGTAAGCAAAACCTCGAGACATAAACTGTACTACGAAAGAAACGGTCCCTCCTACTGCGTTATACTTCTCCCTCAAACAGTAGTCTTTGGGCGTTCACCAAGGCATGCGTCCCCGCTTTCGACTCCCATTCAGAAGCGCAGGGGTAGGGTGAATGCCTGTGTGGTTTATATTATACAATGATTTGCGGTAGCCTGCCGGTGTACAAGTCAGCTTATCCTCCCAGGCGAGTCTGACCCCACAGCAATGGTAGGCCTAATTGGGGACTCGGGATTCACACCCATGACCATGCGTGTGCAAGCGCGCCACTTGTCACTACACCACCTCCGCTCCCTTCTTAGAAGAAATGGGTAAAAAATTAAGGGGTAGAAACCTAAGCGTGTTCAGTCCCGTTTCTAAGATGCTCCCCGGCACCCGACTTCCCATTAAGAATTTTATGGCCTCTTTGGTGCATTTGGTCCACCAAGAAATTGCGAGCCAGCCAATGTAAGGACCAGTGCATTCCTCTTCCCAAATGAGCCTGGTATCAATCGAACTCCCCCGAAAAGAGTAAAGCCAGGTCGATCTGGGCTTGCCTTAATCTGAGGTTTGATTTAAGTACCATGTGTATGGGAGTGCAGTACTTAGCACTAACTTCTTTCGCTTCGATAAGATGGACACAGAATTGATCGCACTTGAGTGTGCTTCTCATGTGGCTCACGTTCAGAACAGTAGTGGCTTGTATGAGCACTTGACTAACACAATGAGTTCTATTAGTGAACTGATTCGCAAATAAAGGTGTCCGTCCTTCCAGTCGAATGTGGTAGCACCTGTTTGACGACAAGAGGATGACACTTTTCGTGAACGATGTGGCTTCAAATCAGGACTTGGTCGCAGAACTGGATTCGTAGTACTGACTTCGTTTGGCACCTCTTCATTTATATCCTGTTTTCAGTGCCAAGGTCAACGATAATCCGATCCTCGACTTGTTCATGAAGATTTCATATCGCTTATTTTAAGCGATTTTGCGCCACTTTTAAAATATTGCTTTTGCAGATTACAGCTGAAAGGAACAACAGCTCAGGCTTTTGTAAATTACAGCTGAAAGGAACGACAGCTTAAGCTTGTTTTCTTAAAATGAAAATCAGAGAACACGATGATTTCATCTTGAGCGAGATGCTTCTGACTCCCACTGCGAGACGCCCTGTAGCCCTAACGGAATAGAGGTATTCATGGAATGTGCATGAAAAGAGCAGGTCTGTATAAGTTTCTTCAGAACTTTTTGCCAAATGTCCCTAATACATCCACAGCGTGGTAGCACGTCCTGGAGTCGTCGAAGAGGTGCTATTTCAACTGGGAAATCGAAGAAGGAAAATCAGGCCAACTAATGCTAAAGTGCAGTCAAAACTAGCAAGTAGGAAACTAATGGGCTG